TCTCTCTCTCTCTCTCTCTCTCTCTCTCTCTCTCTCTCTCTCTCTCTACTCATATGTATGTGTGTTGTGATTTACCACGAACTTCAATTGTCGCACTGGTTTTTTGCTTTGTTGTGACTCGACAGTATTTTCAGACTCGTTTCGATGAAACATTACCATGTAAATGACACATTTCATGCGTCTGTTTTATTACGTTGGCTATGACGGCACTTCACAGCCATCAACACCATCAATCTGTTTGCAAAATTTTCTTTGTAACAAAATTTTGAAAACAATGATGGCAACGATTCGTTCTTCGAATTTTCTCTGTGGCATTTGTTTTACTTTTCTATTGAGTCAAAAAGAAAAATAACAATTGCGGAAACAGTTACGTGTGTTTACATTTTGGTAGCCAAGTTTTATTTGATTTTGGAGTCAAGAAACGAATAAAATCGAACTCTTTGGCTTCGCATCACAATATCCAATTTTAATCGGAGTAAGTAAACAAAGCCGTACCCGTTTACTTACTCTTCTTCTATGATAATTCTTCAAACGATCTATATATCTACATATTATTTATATCAATAGCCATGTTCGATAGATTTGGATAGATTTGAAAAATTGTCAGCACAAATACCAATATATGCATGTGTGCATATGTGTGCTACGAAAGAAGCAACAAGTTGTCAACCAAAGAGACACAAGTTTCTTTTCAAATAACCTTGAAATTTGTGATGCACAAACGAAACCACATACAGAGCGAGCAAGAGAAAGAGAGAGGGAGAGAGAGAAAGAGAGGGAGCTAAAGAGAATGAAAAATGGTATTTCAATTACGAGAATTATTATCAGTATGAGTGACATTGCCCTATGACATCAATGGGGCAAAAGTTGATGAAAACAAACATAATATAATCGATGTTGATTTTTCAGTTCGATTTCTTTTGTTTGCAGTAGAATTTTGAATAAAAAACTTTGTATTTTGTACATGGATTAGTTCTGAAATGTGCCTAAGCTGCTCATCAAATCGAAAATTTCAGATTAATATTTGTTTTTATTGCTTATTACGGTCTAAATGAGATTACAGTATTTTCAGTTGTAAAATACGGAAGAGTCACGTATCCACGATACCAAAATGATAAGAGCCGTGAGTTATAATGAAAAATGTTAAGTGGTTTTAATAATTTGTGTGCTGGCATCGATAATTTTCCGGACAGCATGAAAATAATATCTGCTTAACGATTTAAATTGAATAGAAAATTCTCGAAGCACCAATTTTCGATAAGAAAAATATGCAAAATAATGAGGTATTTGAAAAATTAACATTTATATCATTCAATTATCCGAATTATTCTTGTTTTTAAAAAGCCACTTTTACCATCTTTTCCACGTGTAAACGATCACAAGCAATATGCGAGAGAAAAAAATATATTTAAGACATCTTCATTCAAATATATGCATATAATTGTCTGATGTGGATTATTTCATATTATCGTTGCAAAATCGCTTTGGATTATTTCATATTATCGTTGCAAAATCGCTTCATATCCCAAGCGAGTTTGGCTATCAACATTTTTGTTTTATTTTTTTTCCACAAAGGACCAAGCAAATTGATTTGCATTTCAAAATCGTTCGATTCAATTCGGAATTCCATCAAATCGTCAAAAGCAATCAAACTTCATGCAATTCATCATGTTTTATTTTCGATATATGACCAGATATCATTTCAAATTATCGTCAACCGATATGATATATGTTTTTTTTAAATAAACATTAAAGTTTTTTTCACCATACACGTGATATGTTACATGTGGAAGGAACACCTTTGCGACAAAATTTCAATAAAGACAAAACTGAGTTTGACGTATATTGATCAATTATTCATAGATCTAACCAACACCGAATACGACGACATTCGGTTGAGTTCAGTGATTGAGACGGCACGTGATGAGCACAAATATCGATACACATTTTTTTCTGTCGGCGTCAAATTGCTTTCGGAGCAAAAAAATGGTTCAGTTTTGAACAAAATGAAATCAATTTTAAACTTAAATTGAATAGAAAAGACAACGGTAACTGAAGAAATACCGCTGCACAAATATAGTGCATGTTACGAAATGAAGCCACTAAACGATAAACAATTACATAATAATTGATATGACAATTTGATGTGTGTTTGTTTCGGTGGTTATTTGTTAATATCTGTGTTTATGACGATGATAACGTGTTTTCCTCTCATTTGATACATTGTGATTTGAGGAACGTTTTTTGTTCATGATTAAAAATTCTCCATTCAATTTCATGTGTAATATTAATTTAGATAGATACAAATTGTTTGCCGTATCAATTGAGTAATTCGACAAAAATGTTTAAAATTGAGTTTAATCGGTTAGCTAGAAACAGAGTGATGTGAAAATAAAAAATCGGTTGTGTTTACTCATTACATCTCTTGTTCAGCAATGCCGTTCGATCGTAAAATTTGAGTCGTAATTTAAAGATTGTGATGTTCGATTTGTTAATAGGATATGTTTTTATTTACGAACGCGCCAGATGGATTGAGAGATAGAGTGTCTGAATGTCTAAGAAATAAATGCGTTTTTAATATGAAATCCTCAAAATACTCAAATGCTGATAAGAGTTGTAATGTGAAATTACTTGATTCGCTTCATTACATCGTCGACGATATTTTTAGGTAAATATTTGCGTACATCAAACAGGAATTTTGAAACGAATGTCATCCACTATATGAAGCGCACTCAAGCACATAACTGCGAGCAAGAGAGAGAGAGAGAGAGAGAGAGAGAGAGAGAGAGAGAGAGAGAGTGGAGAGGAGGGAGGGAGAAGGAGAGAAAGCGCGCTTATATTTATAATTGAAGTCACATAAAGTCATGTTGTTTGCTGATGAAACTCGCTGCTCAAAGTCATGCTGATATCAGGCCGTCCATACTAGTCAGTTTATACTGAATCCAACTAGTAACATATTGATTTATGTCCGATATTCTTAGTGTTTGATTTTTTATTGAAATTTTATTTGCGTGAGTGCAAAAAGCGTCTCAGTTTACAGGCGATGTAAGCAATAATGCGATAATATAATTAGCTCAATTTCATAATGTTATAAAAATAAAATTGTCATTCATTAAACGCAGATTTTTATTGATAGCACAAGTGTCGGACGATGCATTATTGTCGTGTCAAATCGAATTTTTGAATGAAACACCGAAATGTGTCCAAATCGTCCCGATAAGATACGAAAAACAATAAACATTTAAGCAACAGCAAATAAACGATTGCAACTTCCTTTTGTGATATTCAAATGCGAGAGAGAGAGAGAGAGAGAGAGAGAGAGAAGAGCAATGAAATCAGTTAGACAACAAAAACATCCATGCATCGAAAAGAAAATTAATTTAAAATAATTAAATGGAAAATCTCATTTTGTGCGAGTGTCGTTGGCTGCTTGGCTGCAAAGGGGTCAGACATGCATTTTATCAACTAGCTCGTGTCAGCTATAATCAATTTTGAACAAAGGAGAACTTCAATTGATGCGAATTTTTCTTCTTTTTGTTTTACTTCGACATCGTTCTTTTCAACTAAAGACTGTTAACCCCAAGATTTATAGTCATTCGAATGCTGTGATGTGCTTGTGTGTTTGACTGTAAATAGAGCACTAATTCACTTGTGCTACAAAACGTACACTTCGGGTCAACGAAATGGTTTATTGCAATATCAACGTATACACACGCACATAGTTCAAATGGCAAACGGAGAACTTCTTTTTCTTCATCTAATTGAATCATTACAGTGAAAATCATAAACAAAGCTCTTAAAGACGCGACACATCATTAATTTGTGTAAAAACAAGAAAAATAACAATAAAAATACGAAGAGAGAATCACAGCAAATCAGACATCACGCATTGTTCTAGTGCATCTCAAATGTACGCATAATGATGCACGATTTTTGTACTGGAGAGAATTCAGTTGTACAGCTTCAACGAATTTTGATGATAAGACGGAATGGTACACGTCATTTACTGTGTTGTTACTATAATAATTGTTTGAAATTGTTTGGTACATTAAGCAGATTAACATCAAGAGAAACAAAGCGAGAAAGAGAGAGAGAGAGAGAAAAAGAAATAGAAAAATAGAAAGAGAGGGGAGAAGAAAGGGACAGAAGGAGAGAGAGAGGGAGAGGTCATCCTATTGGTATGGATGGGCATGGAATACACATTTTGGTTATAATTGGCACCAAAGTGCTTAATATCGAGCGCACATGCTAATTATTGTTTGAATAATAAAAATAAACAAATAAAATGCGTTCGTGATGTGCGTAACAGCGACCGAAATTTACACACTGTTGACATCGCCCATTTTTGCTTAACGACAGAAACCGCAGAAGTAGACATTGATAAGTCTATTTGATTAACAATAAAAACTGTCAAACTACTGATAGATTGAATGAAAACAAACAGAAGCTGAAGTGGATGTAAGAACAATAAATTTATTTCAATTGAAATTGCGATGAGCGCCAACCAAATTATGTTTTCTCTTTATATTTCTT